TTCCTTTTCCTTTTCTTTTCTTTTGTGTGTTTGTTTGTTTGTTTTGTTTGTTTCTCGGGTGCTCACTTGCATTGCTGCCGGGCGGGCAAAAAAAAAAAAAAAGGGGGGGAAAATGACATCTGTAGTCCCTGCACACACAAACAGGCAAACTTCGTCCATTCGCCAATTGCTCAGTACGGAAGGTGCGGGTATTGTTCCTGTGGATCTTCGCGGAGGGCGCTGCGTATAGGGTCAAAGAACGGGTGCTGCATCGCATCCCAGGCTAATATACGCTCTTGATGGTCCAGTCGAAGCATCTTATCCAGCAAATCTAACGCATGTACATCACACCATGATTCACATTGATCATTTATAAAAACGTACCATGGTTTTTTCATCCGTTTAAAAAATCCACCACTTCCAAACAAAAACCGAGGTAAAGAAATATCATACTTGCGAGCATACCGCGTAAGATCTTCTGTGCCAATAACTTCTAATATACGGTAAAGTTGATCTTCATTATTTTGACCACGAAAAAAAGGAAAAATACGAAATAACATCTCAGCCAAAATACATCCTACACTCCAAATGTCTAATGAATAATCATATAATCGTAAACCAAGAAGTAATTCTGGTGCCTTAAAGTTTCGTGTACCAACACAAACATTATAAGCCTGTCCATGAATGTAATATTCACCTAAACCCCAATCTGCAATACGTAATTTACGACGCTGATGATCAATAATAATGTTATGTGGTTTAATGTCACGGTGAAAAATACCATGGCTATGTGCAAAATGCAGGCAACGAAGTACTTCGTACATGTAATAACGCATATCAAAATTACTCAAGCTACCGGAATTCATAAGGCTACGGAAACTCTCTGCGGGCTCCAAATTCTCCGTCACAAGCACCGGTGTCCCCTCTGGTGAAATAGAGACAACATCTAGCAGGCGAAGTACATTTGGGCCACCGCATAAGTTCTGCAATATACTGATCTCACGGTGTATTTTCTTCAACCGAACAGGTTTGAGGATTTTCAAGACGCATAACTCCCCATTAGTTCGGTTACGACACCGAAAAACCTCCGAGTATTTACCACGTCCAATTTTTTGAATTAATTCATACGGCTCCCCACTGCTGTACTCAATCGTCGTCCTCTCGTAGTCCCAATAGGAAGGAGGCATATTATTGTTTACAAACCAAAAAGGATGTGAAATTACACCAGTTTCATGACGCCGCATTTCATTTTCTGTAAAAGTTCTGTTCACGTCAACTGTATTTTCACCGGTATTGTTTTGACTCTTGCAATCCGTTGTAACATGAGGCACATCACCGTTATTCTCTGGAGGTCGCGGTGAAGCAGGTGCCGGCCTGGTAACAGTAATAATTCTACTAATGGAATCCTGATCCGTCATAAGTTTACCTAATCTTCACTGTTAAATAAAACAATGTGTGAATGTATTTGTACACCCCTGGGGGAGGGGAAAGGGCTTGGGGTACGGGCACCGGAATCAAATCGTTTTTTAATTAAAACACACGCACGCATCCAAAGAAATAAAGAAAGAAATAAATAAAGAAAAAGAGTACATAATTAACGCCCAATATGAAGTTGCCCGTGTGTTTGTAGACGCACGCGGTTTGTCTGTTTCTTTCATACCCATCAATATCCCTGCACATTATTTTATTGCCGATATGTTTTGATGGAGGAGAAAATCAGCAAAGCAATACACAAAGACACACACACACACACACACACTTTCACTTCAGTCCATTGATACTCTCTTTTTTTCTTCCTTTTTCTTTTTTCTTTTTTTCTTTAAATGCCATTCATAGAAATAATAATAAATAATCCACACAGTGTAGTGCGATAGACCGCCTCTAATAATAATAATAATATATATATATATATACGCACATGTACTTGCATGTGAGACGTATGGCAATACAGAGGCGTAAAACTAACAATAGAAATGATGCTGGACATCCTTCTCCTTCACCGTCAGAGTGAATTTTTCAATCGGCCCTACGTTTAACGTTCTACACCTCCTTTCAGTTCATCAAACTCCTCCTCATCCTCCTCAATTATGTCGTCATCGTTCTCATATTGACCAAAACCGTCAATCTTTCCAAAGACATGTGGCGTCAACATGTCGCCGTATGGACTCACAGCCATTTCTGGTAAAAGAAAACCTCCCGCAGCTTCGGTGCCGTTTTCATCTCCAAAAACATCTAATTTTTGTAGCCGTTCAATTTCCCGCTCAATATCACGCAGGAACACCGACTTTCGTGCCGTCGATAAGGGAGACGCGGAGTTGTTCACTGCTCTTATTGGTGTCCCGGCTCCTCCCGTGTCATGCTGCAACGCAGTAATGGACGGGGACGTGTACGATGGATGCCCCGTGTCCTCCCCTTTCCGGGGCATTGGAGAGGCAACAAAGGTTGAAAATTCTCGCGACCGCAAACCGTCTTCGGGGTGCGGCAGCTGATCTCGGCGCTGTAGGTAGAAGGCAACTCGCTGCAGCAGTGAAATAAGATTGCCTGCATGAAGTGCCACTTCCTCTGCCCGCGGCAGCGACGAAGCCACCGAGGCATCCCCTTGCCCCTGCGGATGGGACGGTGTCGGTGGGAACATTGAAGACGGCACGGAAGGCAAGACGGCGCTTCTGCCACCACCACCACCACCACTGCGCCGCTTCTTTTCCGCGGGATGTGTATCTTCTCGCCCGTTTCCATTCTGTGAATATCGTTGAGGACCGCTCATATTTTTGTTATCGTCAACATCACGGCCAATATCATCTTCAAAATAAATGAGAATTGGCAGCTTCACATTTTCTTCGCCGTAAACGTCAAACCATTGGATGAACTGCGAGAGTGCATGTACAACGCCCGGCATGATGTTTGCAATGGCGTCGTGCAAAAGCCAGCGCCGCGACTTAGCGGACTGCGGTGTGATGGCAAATACTTTTTTTAGGTGGCGAATGTGCTTCATAGCACGACGTCGAGTGTACTGCAGTGCCTCCGTTGTGAGTTTTGCGTGCGGGATGCAAAAGTAAAACAAATCTCCCTCCTGCAGTTCGTTAATCGACCAAGAGCGTGTATTCACACCGATGAGACCGAGACTTGTGACACGCCCCCGCTGCCTTTGCGGTGGCTGCGCTGTTGTCGTTGTTGTTGTTGTTGGCTGTTGTGAAAGCAACGAGGCGTCCTCCGCCTCCTGCAGGATCTTTGCTATCGTGCGCTGCGCCTCACATTTGCCCTGGCGCCGGACCATTCCCTTCTCCTCCGTCGCCTGGTACACGGCGGTGCGGCTTAGCATGGACGTGGGGTGTGTGTTGTAAAACTGCGCAAGATCGCGGAAGAGTCGCAGACCGCGATGAAACTGAAGGATGAGATGCGCATCCTCCGCAGTCACGGGAGCCGGGCCATCCGGCGCATTTTTGACACTTTCCTCCTCACCGTCCGTGGTTGTGGAGGTGGAGGAAGAGGAGGAGGCACCTCTCATCGGTGCAGAAGATGTGAGACGATCACGTGGCCTCTGGAGTTGGCCCCGTCGCGCAGGCACAAGAAATGAATTCTTCGCTGAGGACTTCTGCCCCTTTGCCTCCGGAACTTGTTTGCCCGCATCCAACATGTACACGTCGTAGTATCGTAGTTTCTTTTGGGCACGGGAGTCGTGGATCGCAGCCGCAGGCACTGTGGCAACCGCGGTAGACGCCACACGTGAAGTACGACGTTGCTCATCCACGGCTGAGGTGGTCTTAAAAGATGGGGATGGAAGTGTTGCAAGTAACTCGCGTAGACTGTCATCTGCCGTTCCACGAAACGCAGCGGCAAATCTCGTGGCTGCAGCCGCGTCCCCTGTGGCAGCCTTGAAGGTGTAGTGAATGGCATAGCTCAGCACAATGAAGGTAAGACGCTGAAGTCGCTGATGGTCGGAGGTCTGAAGTAATGCATACATATCCCCTCCTCTCGTCTTCCCTTCCCTGTTATCCCCATTATTACCATTGTTATTCATGGTGGCGTTAACATCATTTGCCCTTCCCTGTTTCCCACCATCACCATCACTGGCATCGGCCAAATCCTTATTGCCATTTATGCGTGACGACAAAGATAATATCCGCTGCTCACCTTTGTTCCATCGTGATTCCTGTGTGGTAAAGAGGCGATGCACAGCAGCTCGCGAAGGACGGTCCGGTGTGTCCCACATGACCGCATCCAGCGTGTTCAACCTCACGCCGGTGACGTCCATAATCTCAAATATATCCCCACTCGCCGCATCGCCAAAGTACGACAAGGAAACAAGATTCAGATTCGATATAAGCGCGGAACGCATCTGCTGCGCCTCCACATGATAATTGCAGAACTCTGCAGCAACCAACTGACGTGCCCTCGGGTCTTGCGCAAGGCAAAGTCCTACCAGAATCGCCAATTCCACCGCCAGCACCAACGACACCTCGTCCACATTCACTCCGTCCCCGCCTCCCTCAAAATCGATAGAATTTGAAATGCCTCGATCATAGCCGCTGCCCGAGGCGTCCTCTCGGCAGCGAATTTCATGGAACGCCGCCAACCGTACACTCGTCTCCAGCAGCCGCGACAGAGAAGGACGATGCTGCACGAGATAAAAAGCCCCATTTCGGTAATATGGAGCGTGTTGCACAAGTAAACGTAAACAGCGCGCGGCAAGACAGGAAACGGTCGTCACATTGCAAAAAATGTCACGAGTAGCCATCTTCCTACCCTGAAGAAATTGCGGCCTGTCCTGCGCCGAATGATAAGTTGGATCCCTGTGACGGGGTTGACTCTCATTCACACCCCTTCCTGATGAATGCTTTTTCGTACGTTCGCCTAACGGAGAGACCGCGTCCCCTATAAGTGCTGCCAACGCGCGGTCCGCAAATAACATCAGCAGCGATTCACATAAACACAACTCCCAATGTGTCTCTTCCCCGTCATCCGCCTTTGAAATGTCACCGGCAGAGTTGTCAAGCGCATCCCTCAGAATAAGTGTTTCAAGAAGACATAGTGTGGCGTGTAAAGCATCATGATGACCTTCACGCCCAAGTTGAGTCGCGCACAATGCCGCCAATTCCTTTTTAAACGACACATTCGCCCACTCGGAAGGTGCACAATGGCGAAGAATAACATGCATGGACTCTATACATAAGGCACGTAAATCTCCACTTGGGGTCCGTATCGCTCAGTCGCAGCAAGACATCAAGAACCTCAGGCCCTGTGAGACGTGAATAGTGGGAGTTGGCAAGCTCCCGCACACAGGCCGCAATATGCAGCCGCAGCGACAAAGACAAATCCGGCAACCTCGCGGACGTTGCAGAAAGCCTTCCTGTTTCCGTTAAGGTGGTGCCGTTTGATGCCCCGTTCTCCGGCATCGCCACATCGCCCGTTGTTAAGTTTCTGACAGTGGCATGCGCTGCTGCGCTATTTGTGTACGCGTCCGTCGATGTCAGCACTGTCATGAGGATAGAAAGACACTCTGGGCTACTGAGGGCATCACGCACGTAGGAGTTTTTCGCCTGCGCCACAGTGCTACCATCACGCAGGAGCATAATGAAGAGCAGTTGAGCAGCTGCCAGACGAACAGTTAGGGGGAAATCATCGTACAGAAAATCTGACACAATCCCCACGGCGCCAAGGCGGTCCAATAGGTCCGTGCAGGTTGCGGAGAGCTCCATGGCCTCTACGGACACATACGAGCCCCGCCAGCCCTGCCCAAAGTGCTCGGATGGAATACAGCACGAGAACACCACTGTTTGCAGCAACAGAAGGGCGCTTTGGAAAAGGTGGCACACCGCATCCCCATCCGTCATCATATGCGGGGCGTGAAGAAGCGACAGCACCGTTGCCAGCAGCTCCGGCTGAAGCTCAAACACGACATGATGCAGCGCCAACAGTCTCTTCTGCAGCATCGTGGCTGCATGCGGAGATCGTCCTTCGTTATGCGCCCCGCGTTCCCGCTGCTCGTAGTGCGATTCACCACGTGCCTGTAGATTCGCGGGGCAGTGCTCAATCACATCCCGCAGCAGTTCCATGAATCCAGCGCCGTCCTCCACCGTCACAAAGGGCGCGTCACCACCCCGGTCATCACTGCCATGGCCACCCCACATCCTCCCGCCTGCTTGGGAAGTGGTGGACGGCACAAAGGCGGCTCCGTTTAAGCGGGACGCGAGTTGCAGCAACGCCTCCCCGCTCATAGTCACCGCCTCCACCTCCTCCGCAGTTAATGTCGCCGGCGGAGACGATGACATTTTCCCCCTCCCCTTTTCCTCCCCTTCCGTATTTCAGTGTATTTATTTGCTGTCGTCACAATTTTCTCCCTCTTTCTCTCTCTCTCTTTGTACTGCCGCGGTGGCAAAGTAAACGTAAAAAAAAAAAAAGAAAAAAAAACACACAAATATAAATATACATGTATATATATATATATGTATATCTGTATATACACTAGGAGTAAAACAACAAAAGTGGAACAACAAGCAAGTGTAAATAAACAAATAAAACACACAGGCAGAAACACAACCGTCATTTTAATTTCAAAGGATTCCTACTTTTATTCTTTGATAGTCTAGAGACAAATAGAAAAATAGAAAAATAAAAATAAAAATAAAAGCAAAATGTCCACGACTTTCTCTTTCTCTTTCTCTTTTTCTTTTTTTCTTTTTCTCTCTCTCTCTCTCTCACTCTTTATCTTTTCCATCTCCTCTTCATTCTCGTTACCTCGCTGTTTACATGTAGACGGATATGTTGCTCCCCCCCCTCCATCCATCCAACCTTCATCGTCATCATCATCATCATTTTCTTTTTCCCATCCTTGTCTCAAGTGGCTTTCTCATGACATTTATGGATATCCACAGAAGCCGCAATATATTACACACATACACACATATATATATATCCTCCTAATTGACATTCTTCTTTTTCTTCTCGGCATCCTCCTTTTCTTCGCCCTTCTTACTATCCTTCTTCTTGTCTGTTTTCATCTCCTGTCTTCTTTTCAGATTTTCCTCTACCAGTGCATCAAACTTACCACTAGCCTTATCAAAGAGTGCCGAGACGAGGCGATCATATTTATCCAAGGCCTCCAATGCATCTTGATACAACGTTGTGGTGGCCTTTTCACCCCCGTCCTCGGTTGTTGACTTCGCATTCTTATATGTGGGACCTGCAGCAGAGGAAGAACCCCGTTCCCCACCTCCCCCTGAAACCATTCCTTGTTGTCGTTGTTGTTTTTGATTCTTACTTGCTATCTTTGCATCCTGCTCATCAAAGACAACAACGCATTGATGCTGCTGATCCACAATACCTGCAAGCTTCTTGTCAAGAATAAGCTGAGACACCTGTGACTCTACCGTCTCCACATCAAGCTTCAGCAAAGAGGCAAGGTATGAGATCTGTACACGACTGTACGGCTCTAACAATTTCAATAAATGTCGCTCCAAAAGACTGGTGTACATTTCTGTAAGTCGTCTTTGTAAAACCTCGTCGGCAAGGAAAGGGGAATCTTTATTTTCATGCATGATACGATTGAAGAAATGTGTGTCCTGGTTGTTGTAAGCCTCCGCCACACCACGCAGTGCATCCAT